CGACGCCTCCGCCGTTTTGAACACGACGTGGTATTCTATCCACAACAAAATGGTGACCCCGACGTGCGGCGAGGTGATGCGGCCTACACTGAATTGGATCGAGGTGGCTTGCGGTGCACACAGAGAGAGGAACTGGGCCCATTACTTTCAGGTAAGCTGGTTAACTGTTTGGACCTTAAGGTCCGGAGTTTCTGGCTTTTCGGCGGTAAACTAAATTAAGACTAAATTCAACTTCCTCTGTTCGTGTGCATGCGGCCATCTTCGGAAAATAAAGATGGTTTTATTTAAGATAACTCCCGGTGATTCGTGTTAATTCTGACGGGATGGATTACGATATTCAGACGGTTTTAGCGCTGAATGCTTACTTAGTCATTTTTAGGTAGTTTTCACAAGTTTTGTGGAATTGTGCCGGTGGACGGCTGAAGGCCTACCGGAAGTCACGTGGGTGACAACGTTTTCTCTCAAAATTCAGCGGGATTTGCCATCCACAACTTTAGTCTGACGAGACTTAGGTCTATAGCGTTTCACAAACGTCTGTAGGGGCTGAGGGTCGGGCCTCCTCTGGCCAGTGTTGACTGCCGCCTAAACTGGACTCCATTTTTTTTACTTTAGCTTTGAGAGAAAATGAGTGAAATAGCATAGTGTTTACCAAATTTCATGTGATCGGGGATCGCATTAGTTTTAGGACGTTGTAATAACTTTGTTTGAGCAGTGTTTTGTATGTCGTGTGAACGCTTCAGGGGGGACGCGTTGGGAGAGACGTAACAAAAAAAGACAGAGGGGGGAGTGAGCTGTGTGTGGGCGGAAGCTCAGGGTTACTTTTCTCTTTTTTCTGTGTGTCGGAGAAAGTCTGCTTGGAGCCTGTGTGTGTGGTAGAGCACTCGTGTGGGGGAAGGGAGCGTTTCTTTGTTCCACACACGAGGTGAAGGCTTACGCGTGTTTTGTTTTGTCTTCGTTTCTGCGTCAGAGGTGTCTTGTGTGATCGGTGCTTCCGCATCCTGACCGGAAGGGGGGCGCTGCTGTGAGGCAAGGACGGGTCTGGCTGCTGGGTTGATCCGTACCAGACTTGTGTTTGTTTTATTAAGGCTAAGGCCAGGAGTGAAGGACAATAACATATTTGAATGCCTGGGTGTATGAATGTTGTTATCAGGTGTGGTACTCATGAATGTGGTACAGGTGAAGCCTGTGGAAAATCTATAGGATCATATCAGAGGCAAATTGCATGACTTATAGGGAGTATCAAAATGAACAGGAGGTAATTAGTTTTAGATCAGGGGGCCACTAGCTCAAACAAGCGGAAATGAGCTTTATGTACCAAAATTAAAGGGGTAGAGCATGATTTTTAATGATTTAGGCTGTACAAGTTGGATTAATTTAAAAATATAGCTGATTGGCGTGTCACAGCTAAATGGTATCTGATATGGGAACAGGGATAGCTGAAGATCTTTCAAATATTTGCTGATAGCCGTCGGAGGCCAGACAGAAACGGAGATGGGAGCAGACACAAGGTTAAACGAAACAATTTTCTGTATGATAGGAAGGAGGCAGTGAACTCTGAAACAGAGAATGGTTTGAATCTCAAGGTAAGAGGGGACATCACGTGTACGAGCTGTAATTAACCAGGAGATGGAGTCAGAGTGAGTCAGCTGGAGAAGGTTGAATCATCTTGGAGTCAGCTTAGACAGTAGAGGGTTGAGATGTCAAAGCGAACGAGTGGAAGAGAAATATTGTAGGGGTGGCCTTGGTGGTCCTGAACAAATTAGATTAACTTTCTTCTTGGAATTGACTATAAACTCAGGTTTTAAACTCAACTGCGAAACAACAGAATAAAATGAGTAATGGACAAAATCCTTGACACTTGTGAAATATAGAATTTTATTCTGGTCAAACAATACCTTGCCGGACTCAAATTGAAAAAGTTAAATACGTTAGGAAACTAAACTCAAATTGAAAAAATTAGATTAAATTATACAGCCATAACTAAACTCAAATTGTAAATACTTGGGTTAAAGAAATCAATCTTAATTGTACTCGAATTGAAAAACTTCAGTTTAAGTAATCAGTCCACATGAGTTGATCACGTATTGGAAATGTTTAGCATTTAGGAGCTGTTTCCTTCTGAGAGCTGCAGGGACTAGGTTATTTAGGGGACGACGACAATTCTAGTGGGTAAATGCCATGATTTTAACTTTATTATTTGAGACTTCACACAGGTCCTGGGAGTGCAAAAGGACAAGAGAGAGGTGTACATGGTGAGTTTAAGAAGTTGTACTTTGTGAACAAAGGGCATGTACACATTTTTGTGCAGTGATAATGGACTCTGTGATGTCTTGAAGGGTATACATAGTCTTCATTGTTTTGTATTAAAAGTATCTTGTTTGTGATACAGTGGGAAAGCATAGTTATGACAAGAGATGATTTGCAGATTGGTTATATAACAATAAGTGATTACATATTAACATGCTGCCTAAATTTACAAGGTCTGGACGATAATGTGGCCCTGGGAGTGGACTTCACTGTCAGGTGATGTGTCAACACACATACGCTACAAGATGGAGGACATTGTTTGGAGGGGAATATTTTATGCAGTAGGCGTAAAGAATTGGCTTGTGCAGTGTTTAATTAAAGCTTTCACTCTTGTGTAATTGAGCGGTTAAAACGTCTATTGTTCAATCCAGAACACCAGAATGACTCCGTTGGGGTAAACGCTGTGGTCCCAGAATAAAACTTGCTAACTAACGATTAATGTGGATGACAGATGAATGTTGAATCTGGTTTTAATAATTTGATTATTTTTTTCTTCTCTGCAGCTGGAGATGACAGAACTTTGGAGTGGGAAGATGAGTCTAATTACACCCACAAAACATGGAAGGTAGCATTTAACTGCATACAGCATCCATCTGAGTTTTGATCAGGACTCTCGAGTGCCGGGGGCCGGATCGGATACAGCTGTGTTCAGGTGGGCGCTGACGTTGGGTCTGTGAAACTGACCAATGGGACGCAATGGGACGGTTCAAATAAGTGTCAGTCGAGCACAACTGACAAAACAACAAAGAACTTTTCAGCCAAGTAACGTGACTTTTCAAAGATCTAACAGTCCAAGAGCAAACTGAACTAACTGTCCAGGGGGGGTGATGGAGTTTGTACACAGCAAGAACATCCAGTCACGACTTGCTGTATGCTGAGATATGAACTGCTGTACAAAGCTGGGCTGGTCTCCAAACAGACGGGAGACGAATCTGTGGACATAAAGGCTGAACGAAGAACTGGTGGTCACTCTGCCCAAGGTCACTAACATCAACTGCAGCCGGACGGAGGTGTCGACCCCACATTTTGGTCTGTGATGGTCATCTAGGCACTTTGGGGTCGTGATCAAGAAACTGTAGCTGGCTTTGATAATAATCATTCACATAGACTCATTTTAAAACAGGTGCACAACAGGACACAGACGTACAGAGGTGGGAGTGCTAGACGATTCGACCTGCTCCAACTGCTCTGAGATGGAAATTGTTTTATTACCTCAAATGCTCCACACCCCTGAACAAAATATTGATTTTAACTTTCCGTTTATACAGGTCAGGAAGTCTCATTCAGGAGGAACCTGAGACCTGATTTGGATGCAGTTCACTAATGTTTTCTAAAATAACACTGGATGATTGTCTTTGCCTTGAAGGGGCTAATTTTGGTGGGTCTGGTTTGATACAAGAGAAGTAATTTATTTAATGATTAACTTTTGCTAATTTATAGGAGAGCTTGGGCTGTAGTTGGGTAATTGTTTGCAAAACCTGGGTTGAATAACAGTAGTGGGGAGTTTAAAACTACACCATATTTTTAGTTCTGTAACTAATACTCAATCTGAGTGTTAGTGGATTGCAGACGGTAATGCTTGAGATTTGAAACAATGCCGTTTCAGAATGGGGGGAGGTGTGTAGGCAGCTCTGAGCAGGAAGCAGTTCATAGATCATTACAAATTATACAAAATTAACTTCTTCTGAGGCGATTAAAAGATCATATCATGTAGGGTAATCACATTGACATTGGGAAATGAATAAATCAGAAACCTAAATAACGACATTGCACTTGTATATATGTATATCAGGTTAACAGAAGTATCTTTTTCTCTTTGTTGTAATGTGTACAGATTACAGGAAGGGGGACGCCCCTAGCCTGAGGTGGATTTGAGCAAATGTTAAAGGGAAATGGGGTGGTTTGATAATTTTAAACACAACTGACTTGACTGGACTGAACTTGACTTATAGTTCAATTGGGCGAATAAGAAAAGGTTTCATGAACAAAGGATTTTAACCATTTTTTCCTCTTTCTCTTTTATTTTTTCCCCTTTCTCTCTGTTTCTTCCTTGCTATTTCTTCCCTTCTCTAGCACAGACAGGTACCTGGATGGAAGATTATATACTTTTTTCTCTCACAGTGTTGTATGTCAGTTGGTTAAACTTTTAAGTTTATATTGTATTTTGATTGATGCTGTTGGCGCAAGCGATTTAATGAAGTTTCTTCCACAGGCTCCAGGAAGAGGGGCCGGCGTGTATGATTATTATTGTTATTGTTGTATTGTGTATGTTTAATTTTAATTGTAGGTAGACCGGTTGACGACGAAGGCTTGTAAGGGTGACAGATGGGATGAGAGCACACAGGTATACCTGGAGAAGTCCAGTATGTAACACAATTCAGCTTCAAGTGAACAAATGCATGTAAGAAGAGCATTTTATTTTAGTTTTACTAATTCTGTTTTAGGATAACATTACAGTTTAATAATACACCTATCAATATCAATAATAACCATCAGGGTGCCCAATAATTCAGAAATGGGTTTTATTCACTAGAGAAGTAACCACAGTCAGTTTTTCCAGGCCCAGGTCATGGATCCCACAGATAGAATAATCAAAAGGCCATGCAGGGTGTTTAACAATTCGCGAGCTTTCGTGTCCAGCTTTTCTCATCAGGAGGGAGGAACTCTGACCGAGGAGACAAACTCACATCAGACTGAGTCCTGCTGAAAAGAGGGACAGGACAAGACCCCACCAGGTGGTGGACAGAACATCATATGTCATCGGTCCCCAGAAGGAGAGTGGCACCTGTACGACCCCACCAGGGCATCCCTGCAGAGGAGAGGAATCGATCGCTGGACCACATGGAGGATGATCTAAAGACAGCTCCCCACTACACCTGGAGGAGGTGACAGGACCTTCGTGGGAGCTCATTCTTTGCCCCTTTGTTCTGGTTGGAAAAAGGCAGTAGCAAACATCGGAGAAGAAGTCTCCGCTCTGCCTGAAGTCGGTCGGGTGGATCGGGTAAGGACGGAAGATTACCAGCCCTGACCGTGAAGAACAGAAGACGCGTCAAACTGATTTTAGTTTTGTCCCAATACACACACGTCATTTAGAATGTTTAATCAAACTGATACGGTTCTGAGGACTTTACATGAAGATAACTCCGCGGGCCGAATCCCGCCGAGCACCAAAGGACCCTTGTGGACGAACAAGGCCTCCCACCGCAAGCTCAAGAACCGAAGACCTGCTAGATAGAAATGTTTCAATTAAGGGTGTTGGCTTTTCCTGTCTAATATGAGTGTTTAGTCTTACTTTTCAATCATTCTGAAAAACAACCAGAGAAGGGTCGTGGATTCAATTGGAAACTTAACTATACATTTAACTTGACTATAAACTTAACTTGACTATTAACTTAAATATTCAGTAACTTAAATATTCAAATATTTTACTCCATTCAATTAGGCATTTAATCATTCTAAAATACCACAAGGTATTTTAAAGGTGGTTTAAAATAGTTTCACTTATTTATCTTTCTCTAGGAGGGGTGTGGCTGTTTTGTTGTATTTTTATAAAGGTTTATGTGTGTGGTACTTTTCACAGGTGTTGGATCAGGGGTCTGGTCCAGGACCCCTGGGGAGTGCAGTAAGTTTGCGTCACATCCATATTGATAAATTAATCCATAAAGAGGGTGAACTCCCATGAATATGGGAGTTCAAAAGAGAGAATGTTGGATTTAATATTTTATACCTTTTTATAATTCCTATCAAGCACT